ATGGAAACTAAAAAATACAAGAGTCAAAGCACAGTCTGTAACAGGCAACTTTTTTTCACATGTGCATCTGATCTTCTGAGGGCACAGAACACTGCCATAGTTCTGGGCCTGGGTCTTATACCAAGCAAAAGAGTCACTTCCATTTCTCAGGCAAACAAAGGTATCAGATCATTTAATCATCTGCGATTACTTACTGAGGGCCTAATGTGTGCCTAGGCAACCTCATTCTGGTTCCAAGGCCTCATTCTGGTTCTGCAACAGCCGCAGAATTCCACAAGCAGCTCTCACTGCCTGTTGGGGGCAGGCTCCTCTCAGAAGAACAGTCTCATTTTCCCGAGGCCCTTCCTGCATAGTTACCAGCTTTGCCTAAATCAAGCTTACATGGAGAACTGAAAGTGGAGGCAGGCACATTTTCTTGGCTTCCTTTATATTGTGGGATACACAGGCCTTTTATTCTCTACACAGATAATCAAAAGTGAAGTTTCAGGTCATTACCACCCATCACCTAATAATGTTCAATCTATAACCGAAGCATAGCAAGGCCTTACTGGGGGGAGGGTGGGGGATCAAGCCCTTCTGAGATAACTTCAGATGCTGTGAATTTCTACCATAAAGTGATTTTTGAAATGTGACTCTATGAAAGATATGTCCTAGGATTAAAGTGTTAATCAGTTTTTTTCAGTTTTGCAACTCAGAAAGCACACCCCTATTACAACTTTATCCTGCTTAAAAATGACACTGCATTGTCCTGCATGCTGTAACTAAAATGTTGAACACTATGTATTCAGATTTTCTTTTTTAATTTCACCATAAAAGGAAATAGGAAAACAACAAAGCACCAGCAACATTTAATTTCTTTCCTCACCCTAGGTCTGGCTGACATGTCCAGATTGTCCTTTTGGTCAAGAAGTTTCTAGGAAAATGAGGAGGAAGGGTAAGTAGGAGATCCCTAACAGCAATTGCTCGGGGGCATCTTAAATGCTCTTTCATGAGAGGCGAGAGGCTTCATTTCAATTAGTGCACTGATATGTAACTGATTATACCACATAAACTTGGGAGTTTTTCAGAATAGAAATAGAAAGATGAAATCAGAAAGGGTTTTTGTTTTATTTTGCTATGTTAAATCAGCAGCATTCCCTGTACTGCCTCATGTAAACATTATCTTTTACTCTGTGAAAATGGGCCCATAATTAAGGGGAGTTACCCAGAGCTTCACAATTGGTTAGTTCTTTTTCTCATTTCAGCCAGCCTTCCCAATAACCATTCTGCCTCCACCAAGAGCAACTTCCCTACTTCTTTCTGTCATGTCTATTTGTACTAATATTCTAACTTAATCAACTCTGTGACATGAACACTGTTTACAAGGAAACAGCAAAGATTTTAGTCCATTCCATCACTGCATCAAAGGGTGGACCAGTTTCAAGGCTGGACAAAGATCTTTCATTTTCAAACCACACACTTTGGGAAACGAGTTGGAGGTGCGTGATTTTTTCACTCCATCTCTCAAGAGCAAGACTGCTGACTTATAAACATTACTTCTGCATGTTTCTAATAAGGCCATGAAGGATGGCCACCAGGACCAAAGCATGTACATGCAAATATACCAAGAGCCAGCTCAGAGGGAGACTCTTGGGACATCAATCACAGATCCCCTGAGTCTGACACATCAAGGTACACAGCAGAGCTTATCCATCTAAAACATATCCAGTATCAACCTCCTAGATGTAAATATCCAACAGAACATGCCAGAATCATAGAGAAGCATTTCTGAGGATGGAAAGAGAAATCAACTTAAAAGAAATTGTTTGTAAGTTTCTTTTGAAAGCTTAAGAATATAAAATATACAAAATGTTAACCCTTTCAAGTAACAATCTATATGCTGTAAGATGCACTTAAATTCCCAATGATTATAGAGATATATACCAAATGCCTAAATGAACTATGGATAAGATTTGCTTTAAAATAATGGGGTATTGGGGAGGTGGGTAATGGAAGAGCAAAAACTTGAGTTGTTAACTGTTACAGCTGGACAGAGGATTCTCAGGGGCCCATTAAGTTTCTCCATTTTCATAACATTTTCCATATGAGTATTGTTTTAAGATGTCAGAAAACAAGATACTATGCACTACACCATGTAGATAACCCTTATGCTCTGCAAAGTGGGAAACACCACTGGAAACACTAAGGGTGATGCGGGTCCCACAGCCGCCACACCGTTGTTGAGAAACTAAAAGCCACTGTTTCCCATCCTCTGGAGAAAAACTCACGCCAGGGCGATGTTTCCAAAACCCTTCCAAATTACAGCTACCCTGTATCGTGAACAGGAGCTGAGAACAAAACGTTATCAGAAAAGTTGGCGCGATTCTGAGAGGGAAGACAAAATAACACGGGATTTTGGTTACGATGTCACAAGGAGGACCCTAACCCTAAGCAGAAGCCTCTTTATCCCTGGTACCAGCCAGACTAAACGCTTTCCAGGTTTGAGGGGGGCGTCCCAAGGCGAACTCAGGTCCCCACCGCTCCGGGGCGGTTTAGAGCCACCGAGGAGCAGCCGGGAGGAGCTGTGACCGCGTCTCCGCTCCCGGGCGCATCTACAGGGCCGAGCCTCCGGACCCAGCCGAGCGCCCCAGCCCCATTCCCACCGCGGCCCCAACCGCACCGAGGCGGCCGAGTCCGACGGGCGGAGGTGGCGGGAGCCTGACAAGCGGCTCGCGGGCGCCCCCTGAGGTCCAGCGGCGTCGCGACACTTTCGGAAAACCGAAAGCCGACGTCTCCGGCTCTGACATTTTAACTTTGGTTGCAAAGCCTGCCGCTGCACCCTCTCCGGCGGCACTCTTCCAAACCACAACCCTCCTTCCCCGGGCACCGCTGCCCTTTCCCTTTTAGACACCCTTTGGCTCCCGGACTACAGAATGGGCTCTTTGTTTACCTCGCAGCGAGGGCATGCATAGGAAACGTGGAAGATGAAAACTATCCCAGCCCGAAGCAGGAGGCATCACTGGCGGTCCCATTTTGGATTTTAGGCTTCCTCAGACATCAGGAAAAAGAAAAATCCCGGCTGGCCCACTGACTGTACACCCGAGTGTAAGGTGAACGCTAGAAGTGGAATCAGAAATTCCTTGTATTTCGCAAGGCTGCTCTCTGGCTGCTTCCCGCTGCCCCCATTAAAGCGTGACCCTTACGAAGCTAAACCCCAGTGTGTGTGCGTCTGAGCCCACTCTGCCGGCAAGTCGACGGCAAAGAAGAGTCTAGAAGGGGCAGATGGCTAACACAAATACTAGGGAGTGGTGGAGGAAATGTTTAGGAGTAAATGTCAAAACTGCCTCCAGCCCCCTGCGGAGGCAGGAGCCTGGTGGACAAACCCAGGCCTCGGGTCGAGTGTGGACACACGTCCTGGCTCCGCATCCGAGCTGGGATTCAGAACTGTGGCAGTTCTGTGCGGTTCCGGGGACAGGAGGATGCGCAGAGGGAAAAGCGGGGTGCCGAAAAACGACCGCGCTTTGCCTCTCTGCCCCTCGAGGCACCCACTTGCCTGCAAAGGGGACCCTCGCTGCCAATCTCCAAGAGCAAGCAAGAGCGCCCGCACCCCGCTCCAGGGCGCAGGACGCAGCTGGGGGACCCGTTGCACCAAAATCTGCGCTCGGGCCACCAGGGGACAGGCGGCTGTGACCAGGGGGAGCACCAACATGGGGGGGGAGGCCACGTTCCTTTTTCTTGGATAACCCCCACCTCCGAATATCCAGGAGCTGGTGGACGAGAAGGCAGAAAAATGGGGACTGCCCTGTCCTTATAAGAGCAAAGGATTAAATATGAATGGTCCCCTTCTTCCCACCCCTTTCCCGACTAGGAGAGGGGACGTGGCCTCCACCGGGGAGAGGGGGTCGGACAGATTCAAGGGAGCTCAGGGCTGCAGCCTGGTGTAAAGGGGGCTGCAAGAGGGAAGAGGGAGGCAGCTGGCCTCTGCCCTCCCCTAGCAGAAAGAAGAAGGCGGGTCGGCCGATGGAGGGCTGGAAGTGGAGGATCGCCGAGCCGCACACCCTGCGTGTGGTGATTTATTATCTTCATCAATGGTCAACAGTGCTCCTGTCTTAACCCGACCAGAAAGGTGCGGGTGTGGGTCCGCCAGCTGCAAACAGCCTGCAAAAAGGCAAAGACGCAGGTAGGCAGGGCGCGAGGCAGGGCTCGAGACAGAAAAAAATCCGCCCCGGCGCGAACAGCAACCCAGCCGTCGACACCCCCCCTCCCCCACGCCCCAACCTGAGCAGCCCAGCCAAGCAAAGGGGGCCGCGGGCCCGAGATGAGGAGTCACGGACCTCCCTAAACCTCCTGCTCCCTGTTCTCCCACCGCGCCCAGATCCCCGCGCCAGAAAGGTTCCCTCGCGCCAGCACCGAAGCGCAGCCCGCGCCCCAGCCCGGAGCTGAGGTCGTCCCTGACTCCCGAGACCCGAACGCAGGCTGCTCCCGACATCCCCAATCCTCCACGGCCAGCCTGCAGCTTCCACTCCCCGAACATCACCACCTCCAAAGAGTCGCGGAGCAACAAATCCAATCCCCCCTTCTGAGCTCTTTCAATCCTCTCCTGAGCGGAGAACGCACCCAGGGCCCCCCCAAACCCAGAGAGGCATCCTCCCCATGGCCCCACTCTCCCCAACAGCCTCAGAGCTCTAGCTCTCCTGCACAGCGGCGGAGCAGCGAACGAGTCTTTTCTCCCGACTCCGGCTCCCCCAGGCCCCCAAAGCCGAGCGAGAGATAGACCCCTGCGGCCCCCGTTCATCTCCCCGGCCAGCTCTTTGCTTCCACCCTTCCCAATCACGAGCCTCTCTAAATTACGCCGCCAGAGTCAGCGGAGCGGATCCCTCTTTCCTCCCCGGGTGCTCGACCCCCACTTAACCCTCTCCGGGGTCCCCGGGACGGGCGCCTGAGCTCCATGCCCCGGCGGCAACTCCGCTCCCGCCTTGCGCGCTGGCCAGGGCCGCGTCCCCTCGGCGGTCAGCACTCACCGGGGAAGCACACGACATAATGGAGCACGGAACTGGTGATTTTCAGGAACAAAATCCACCAACACGGTTCCAGTAACCTCCGCATGTCCGAAAACGCACATCGAAAAGAGGAAGGCAGGGGGGGTAAACTTGTTGAATAAGTTCTTGCCTCGGTGTGAGCCTCCGCTAAGCCCCGGCTCTTCGCCTGCTCGCCTGCTCTACGGGGCCCCCGCGCTCGGCGGCCCGAGTCCCCCCTGGAATCCGGGAAGCCGCCGAGCGCCCCCCGGAAAATCTCAAAAAGTGGCCGAGAACGCGGAGCCACGCTGAGGACGATCCTCGGCGGAGAAAGGCTGCTTTATGTTCAAAAAGGAGCGAGTCGAGCGAGCAGGGCGAGGAGTCGGCGGGCGGCGGCGATGCCCGGAGCCCCGGGCAGGCAGAGACCGCCGGCGACGGCGGCGAGTAGCCGAAGATCCCCAACTTGAGTCGGCAGCGGAGCCCGAGAGCCGGCGGGCGGCGGCGGGGCTGAGCGCGGCGCGGCGTCTCCGGGCTTCAGGCAGGCAGCTCCTTCCAGGGCCCCGGGAAGGAAGGAGGCATGTTTGCAAGCGGGGAAGGGGAGGGTAGAGGCGGGGGGAGAGCGAAGATCCCCCAAAATAGAACAGCCGGAGGAAACCGAGGAAAACACAAAGGATCTCAGAGGGGCGCAGGGGCGAGGGCGCCTTCAGTCCATGCTCCTGAAAGTTGTGGCTCTGGCGCGAGCTGGGGAGGATCGGGGAGCGCGGGGATTTTTTTTTTTTTTTTCCTTTCCTTTTCGGCCTTCCATTGGCCTGTTCCCGGCTGGGGAGGGGTGGGGGAGGGGAGGAATACCGATCTAGGCTTGCGAGATCCAGCCTTTTCGAGCCCCACGCCCCCTTTCCCCACGCCACGGCTGATCAGTGGCCGAGTTTTCCCAACTCGCCGCCTCACGAGAGGAGGGAAGGTTCCCGCACTCCAGCCTGGTGGCGGGGAGGACGCAGGAAGTGCGCCTCTCACCCCTGGCTGGGTGAAAGCTGCGCCGCGGGGCTGGACCGATTTCCTGGCAGCTACGCGGGGAGCGGCAACCTCTTTAGCAATCGTGGAGAGGCATCTGAGGGAAATGGGAGGACAGAACTTATCTGTAATGAGTTTCGTCCCTTAGTTCGTGGAGAGAAAGATCTTTATCGCTTAGACTTCTAAGCGCCCTATTTTCCCCTCTTAACGCCGGTGCTAAAAAGTGGGGGAGGCAGGCTTTTGATTAAACGTGTAACTGAGCCAAAGTAATTAGCCATTTTTAATTTTTGCCTAATTTTTCTGCCTCTGTTTAAACGCCATCTAGACTTGTTAACTTGCCCCTGTTGCTTCTTCCCACCCCGCAGGGTCCCCCACCCACCCAAACAGCCCAACCGGATGCTAGGTTTTCAAAAGTACAGATGTTTGAGAGCCTCCCGCAAGATGTTATTAGGGAAGCACTTTCACACCCACACTTCCAAAAGAAAAACCTTTGAAAAGTTACATTTGGGATTACGAACTAATAAAAGCCAGGAAGTTCCCGGGGAGGGCCCGCGCTCTATCTTTAGCAAAACGGGGGTGAACACTCTCTCCCAGGGTGGAGAATGAGTCGTTTGTTTGCTTTGGCATTTGGCCCTTCCTGCTTTTGTTCGAATCCCAACTCCCCCATAAATGCTCAGAGAGGGTCAGTTTTCTTGGGGGTGTTGTATTTAAGGGATGTCCATTGGTCAGTAGGACCCCTGCGTGTCTTGAGTAGCTCGTTAAAAACTGAGTGATAAAACGGGGAAATCTCTGGAATTTGAATCAGGACAGAACACCTGGATAGGTAAACCCAAGTGAGTTTCCTCTGCAAAATAACATAATAAAAACTGCCGGTTGTGGAATGTGTACCATCTACCAGGTACTGTGCTAAATTATTTCTCTAAATTGTTCATTCTATAAATTCATTGAGCAATTATTGAGGAAGGGAAGGGGCCACTGGGGACACAGCCATGAACAAAAAGAGCAGGCCCATGACGTGTGTGGACCTTGCAAAGTAAGGATTCACTCCCTCAAAACCGTACAACAGTTCTTAGAGCTGTAAGAATTATTCTCCCCATTGTAGACAAGGAACCATGCACAGAGGCTTAAAATAACAGATCCCCAGCCAGTGAGAAGCAAAGCTAAGATATTCAGGTCTGTCTGCCTCCATGGACGTGAAAGGCAAAGAAATGATGGTTTGAGAAGACACTGAAATGTGGGATGAGGAGAAATGACTTCAGAGTAGGGAAAACTTTCCATGGGTTTGGAGAGTGAATTAGCACTACCTTTAAAATATAGAAGGCCCACAATCAAAATTAACATTTAATTAGGTCTGGGCTGATGACTATGGTGGCCCTAGGCTGAAGTATACCAGAAACTGCTCTTGGAAGCACCCGCCCACAACCCAGGCCCCATCAGTTTCCATAATAAACTATGTTACAGACATACCAGAGAAGCCTTTTCATTCATTCTACAACCAATTACAGAACAGTTCTGTACACACCAGACATTCTGTCAAGTGTTAGCAGCACAAAATGACAGGCAGTGGACCTGACAATGCTCTCACCTGCTGATTACGACCCCCTGCCCCCAGGTGATGTCAGGGGCTGCATCATACAGTGAGCACTCCAGGATGGTCGGTGGGAAGGATCCTGTGAGTGTCAACAAAGGTGTGAACAGCCCTGGGAGTGCTTATCTACCCCATGTGAAAATAAGGCTGCAGACAGAAGGTGCTGGTTTGGGTAATAAATTAATCCTCCAACTTAGTGACTTAAAACAATCTAGTATCCGTTTATTATCTCACAGCTCTGTAGATCAGAAGCTGGGCCACAGCCTAACTGGGTGCCTCTGTTCCAGGTCTCCCTAGGGTGAAATCAAGATGTTGGCCAGGGGCTCTCTTCTGGAGTTCAGGATCCTCTTCCAAACTCAATTCACATTATTGACAGATTTCAGTTTCTTGCTTTCACTTTATGACTTGAGTTGTTTAGAGGTCCCTATTTTCTTGTTCTAATAGCTGTTGACTAGAAGTATGTCTCAGCTAGAAGCTGCATTCTGTCCCAGCCACATGGCCCCCTAACAATGTAACATCTTACCTCTTTAAAACCAACAGAACAATAAAGAGAAGACAGAATCTTCAATAAGTGGTGCTGGGAAAACTAGACAGCTGCATGTAAAAGCATGAAATTAGAACACTCCCTAACACCAAACACAAAAATAAACTCAAAATGAATCAAAGACCTGAATGTAAAACACTATATATAAACCTACAGGAAAATATAGGCAGGAATACCCTTTGACATAAATCGAAGCAAGATATTTTTTGACCCACCTCCTAGAGAAATGAAAATAAAAATAATCAAATGGGGCCTAATTAAACTTATAAGCTTTTGCACAGTAAAGGAAACCATTAAAAAAAATGAGAAGACAACCCTCATAATGGGAGAAAATATTTGCAAATGAAGCAACTGATAGAGGATTAATCTCCAAAATGTACAAACAGCTCATGCAGCTCAATATCAAAAAAGCAAACAACCCAATCAAAAAATGGATGAAAGACCTAAATAGACATTTCTTCGAAGATGTTCAGATGACCAACAGACACATGAAAAGATGATCAATTAAATACATCAAAAGATGCTCAACTAATCAATTTGCACTAGAAATGGAAATCAAAACTACAATGAAATATCACCTCACACCTGTCAGAACTATTTAAAAAATCTACAAACAATAAATGCTGGAGAGGGTGTGGAGAAAAAGGAACCCTCTTGCACTGTTGGTGAAAATGTAAATTGATACAGCCATTTCTGAGAACTGTATTGAGATTCCTTAAAAAAATTAAAAATAGAATTAGTATTTGTTGCTCTGTTGTTCAGTCATGTCAAACTCTGTGACTTCATGGACTGCAGCACATCAGGCTCCTCTGTCCTTCACTATTGCCCAGTTTGCTCAGATTCATGTCGCTTGAGTAGGTGATGCCATCTAACCATCTCATCCTCTGCCGCCCCTTTCTCCTTTTGGCTTCAGTCTTTCCCAGTATGAGGGTCTTTTCCAACGAGTCTTCGCTTCCTATCCTGCGGCCAAAGTATTAAAGAACTACCATATGACCCAGCAATCCCACCACAGGGCATATACCCAGAGAAAACTGTAATTCCAAAAGACACATGAACCCAATGTTCACTGTAGCGCTATTCACAATAGCCAGGACATGGAAGCAACCTAAATGTCCATCAAGAGAGGAATAGATAAAGAAGCTGTGGTACATATATACAGTGGAATGTTACTGAGACATGAAACAAAATGAAACTGGGTCATCTGTATTGGCAGGCGGATTCTTTACCACTGATCAACCATGGAGGCCACACTATTGATACTATGTATAAAATAGATAACTGATGAGAACCTATTCTATGGCTCAGGAATCCTACTCTATGCACTGTGGTAACTTAAATGGAAAGGAAATCCAAAAAAGAGGGGATATATGGATATGTATAGCTGATGCACTTTGTTGTATGGTAGAAACTAACACAACATTGCAAAGCAACCGTATTCCAGTAAAAATTAACTTTAAAAAATAATAAAACAAGAGACTCTCCCTCCAGTTTGCTGTGAAGGAATTTTGGGAATGACAATTCCAACACATTTGCCATATGATGTAACCTAGTTAAGGAGTGACTATCCTTTCACATTCACAGGTCTCACCCATATAAGAAGAGGATTATATACCAGGGATGAGAATCTTGAGGATCATCTTAGAATTCTTCCTATCATAGTGCTGTTGATCTCTTTTGAGTATTGCATCTTCAGTCACTAAGCTGTGTCCAACTCTTTGCGACCTCACAGACTGTAACCTTCCAAGCTCCTCTGTCCACGGGATTTTCCAGGCAAGCATACTGGAGTGGGTTGCCATTTCCTCTTCCTAGGGATCCTCCCAACCCAGGGATCAAATCCTCATCTCTTGTGTCTTCTGCATTGGCAGGTGGATTCTTTACCACCGGAGCGCTCGGAAAGCGCCTGTTTTGGGTACAGACTGATAGTTGGCAACAGCTCCCAAGCCAGTCTGTTGGGTTCTGATACTTATATCTGCTTGACTGTGGGCAACTTAACCACTTAACTTTTCATCATTTGAGTGCCTCAGTTTCCTCATGTGTCAACAGGGAA